ATTCACAGACCAGATCTCACCTGGCTTCCACACTGACCGCGCCGGGGCAGACAATGGCGCACGCAGTGCCGCCAGCCCACGTGGAGCGGAGAGGCAAGAACAGGAAGGGCCCGAAGAAGAAAGCCCAACGGAGGACCCCATGGTCGAGGTGGACTTTTTCTGACATAGCCGACCTCTTCAAGCCGCTAAAACACAGGCCAAAACGCCACTAAGAAAGCAGGAACAAAAGAACCTTTAGAAGAAGTAGAAGACAAGACATACATACATACATACATACATACATTCATTCATTCATTCACTCATTCATTCATACATACATACATACATACATACACACATACATACACACTGTATCTCCCTATGTGAAGGCGTCAATGTCGTGGGAGGCGAGAAGAGCCAGCCGCAAACCTTCTGGATTAGCAGGGCTGTGGGAACATGCACCATTCTGGGCAAAGAAAACAACAGAGTTGCTCTGTGTCAGAAGGATCGCAAGGAACAAGTTAAATCTGAAGGTCGCAGTGGCAATGGACATACTCATCGGCATGTGCGTGTTTGCCGAATGCACAACGGCTGCGAATGCTGGCAAATTGTCTTAGGTCTTAGCAACAAAGCGGCAACATCTGCAGCCCCAGAAATTGGTGTTCCAAATCTCCTCATCTCTATTTCTATAGCCTCGTTCTCACTGATGGGACATCAGACCACGCTTCCTTGTTCTTCAGGTTCGACTCGCAAGATCAAAGGCTCACACATAGGAAGTTGCGACAGCAATCAGGGACTGCAGCCACACTTGATCCAATATATGAGAGGTTGTGCCAAGGGTATATAATATTCTTGGTCAGGCCGTGCCTAGGGTCTTCCAAGCACCTAGTTCCAAACCCTTGGAAGAAAACTTCAGTTCTTTTCCTTTGCTCTTCTCTGAGTGAATGGTCCTGCGAAAAACTCTTCACGTAAAAAGGATTGACATGCCAGGGGTCCATGCACATATCAGCACTCCCCCGAGCTTCTTTAAAAGTTGTTTCCTCACCACCCAATGGTTTGATACCCTTTGTTCGGGCACTCCTGGCATTTAGCCATTCTCCCTGCATGAGCAAGGAGCACCAGTCCACTAGGTGATCTCGTAGGTCGAGCCCTTTCGAACGGCAAGTCATCAAATGGCAGCAAACATCTTGTTTCATTCCTGGTTTCCAGCTCAGCCAGATAGGCCTTGTAGTGACCTTTCCAACAATGTTCGCAAACATTGTAAACACAGCTATGCCGTATCACACATGCAGCCCAATTGACTGCGCTGAAACTCAAAATTGGGCGCAGCCAAAAACTGACATGTATGTTGTAGAAAGGCCCTTGCCCTCTCCCCTCCAAACCAGTTCTCAGCCGTTCCGGTTTCCATCCGTAGTGGGCCAACCAGGCCCTGTGGAAAAGCACAACTTGCAATGTACCCATCACACTCCATGTCAACTGGCCAACGTGGCCTTAGGAACGCTACAGCCGTTTCCTTCTCATCTTTTTGCTATCATCACATGTTCAGCCCCGATTCCTCAGTTCGTGAGCGCAGATCGCAGATGTCACAGCGCTTTTCGCGGCCAGTGGCACAGGGACGAGGATTTGGGCTGCTGCTGTGGTAGATCTTGCCCCGCCCACAACACCATCGTAGCTCTCCTCGCCTGACATAGCTCATGTCGTTGGTGAAGCCGCGTTGATGACGCGGGGGTGAATTCCTCAAGACCAAGGAGCTCAAAGTAGAGCAGTACCTGAAGACATGATACTTCTCACCAAACTTCGTGATGTAGACACCCATACCATCATACCCTCGCCCACAATCCCCGATGGGCCTTGACGAGGTCCCACATCTCATCAGCTGTCATCTCCCTGTAATCCCTCTCTTTGGGGTCTCTTCTTCTTCAGGTGGATCGGTCTGTGGCAGTTCCTCCTCTGCTGGGACTTCTTGTTCTGGTTCTTCTTGAACCCCAGTGAGGGTCACATCAGACTGTCCTTGTGAGCTTGACGCAAGAAGCAGCTCTTGAATGCCGGCTTGCCGTCGCTCTTCCGACCCAATGAGCCAACCAACCTTGATTGGCCCGAGCAAATTAAATCCACAAGTCATCGGTGCAGCAAGTTCATAGGCCAGATCTGGTGGTGTTGTAGGTGGCTCCTCAGCCTTCCCCTGGCCCTTCCCTTTTCCTTTTCTTCTTGAACTGTCCCTCTTTACTAAGTTCCGGCGGATGTGGTTCAGAAAGTCCCCCAGCATGATCTCCATCACTGGCTGCTGCAGTGGCGAGCCAGACTGGCAGCCTTCGAAGAAAGTGTTTAGAGAAGCGTGAACAACCGAAGGGTCTCATCATCCCTTCCACCTTGTGCCTTAGCCTTCGACAAGATGGCCATCAGGACTGCCAACTGCCATTGATGCTGGGAATGACAATTGTTTCTCCCTCTTCTTCCTTATTGCCTTTGGGTCATCCTCCCTTTTCTTTCCTTCACTTCCTTCCTGCAGAACAATCATCATGAACCCCTTCAACTCTCTAGTGTGCTGGACAGTGAGAGCCTTGGTGCCCAGGTCAGCGATGATCACGGATCCTGGCAAGTGACGGACCCTCCAATCCAGATTTTGTGATCTGCCATCGAACATTTTGAGCTCGAAGACGAAGATGCCGAGTTCGCCAATTGGCATTTACACCAACGGCGGCGAGGTTGTCAACAAACAGCGTCTTCTGTAGGGCACACTTCGTGCTCATTGATGAGACAACCAACACCATCACCTGTTTGTAGACCTTCAATGGCCTCAAGCAGCTCTGATTCAGCGGTGGACAAACAGGGAAAGCTTGTTTTCCACTCTTCCAGAACATCATTCCCCCCGTTCCAGGTGACTGTGACAGAGCCGTGCGATGCTTGCGTCTCGAGTCTCTTGATTGGCGGCAAAGCTGGAATCACTGAAGACTTCAAGCACCAATTCGCCAACCAATTTCTGGAGATCTTGTGTGGGTTCTTCTGGCATTGGCGTAGGACATGACGCTTTCCCCATAGGAACTTTCACACCCATTCCTCCCTTAATGCCTTCTTTATCTTTGATGTTGTCCTTCTGGGATGCGATGAACTCTCCCTTCGGACCTTTCTTCAACTCCTTTCCTAGGAACTTCACCTTGGTTTCGCTGTTGACTTCCTGCGCTGGTGAGGTTTCCCATTCGGCTTGAAGTGTCCTTGTGGTGATTAGAATCGTTGGTTCACAGCCAACAATCATCAAATCATGAGCACACCGCCATCGATGGAGGCCCCGGCGCCGAGGAGATTGGCGAAGACCATACATTTTGGGCCAGGTAGTATTCGTTGTGCTTGACATGGCCTGTCTTGATCAGAAGAGCAGGTGGTGAGAGGACAACCATGGTGTGGGATTTCCTGCTGCTCATCAAGTGGAGCATTCAAATGCTACTCGAATGTCCATAACTGTGGCCTTGAATTCTTCTTCAGGCGCCCTCTTGAGGACATAGCAAAGGCAAACTGCGTCAGCTCCAGGGGCATATATATAGGCAGCGATCTTTCTCTTCTTCGGAGTTGCGATCGGCAACATTTTCTTGATGGCTTCATCCCATTTTGGAGCCTCTTGGAGCCGTTCACGAGGGGAAACGACCCGGGTTCTCAGGACTGGTTCGTCTTCCTGCGTGACGGCGCTTTTCACTTTCTTCAGCTCCTCGAAGATGACGTCCATCACTTTCATTTCATCTTTCAACGCAATCACGCTCTCCTCCAGGATGATGTTAGAGATCTTTTCTTCATGCATTTTCCTTTCATTCAAGACCTTGTCATACTCCTCTTCATCTTCTTTCTTCATGCTCCTCAGTGTCATTTTCCCAGGAACCCTCCTTCGGGCAAGGTGCGGATCTTCTTCTTCTTCTTCTTCCGCTGCACGAACCACAACCATCCATGTCTCTAGGTTGGGTTCAGGTTCGGTGGTCTTGATGATGAATTATATAGAGCAATCGCAGTAGTTCCATCATCTCGTAGGACCAAGTGGCAATAACTAGCTCTTGTCCGAATGGTGGAAGATCACTCATGTCCTTGTGGATCACTCTTCATCTTTCCATTTCACGCACATAGTGACACGCGTGTGCCCACATTGAGGAATCCATACCCGCCATGCCAAGAAGTCGACGATGTGGCCCTTGATGGTCTGGATAGCCCTTTCGGCTCTTCCATTCGCTTGACTTGAGACACCTGTAGTGCTAGTCACTGGTAGTCAATTGAATGTCTCGAGATCTGCACCGCTGCTTCAAGGAGCGGCAACGAAGTTCACCTCCAAGGTCTGTGGAGACGTGAGACATGGTAGCCATGGATGGAGCTGAATGTGCATTTGCTGAATCGCTAGAGGATTTCCCTCTGATCTTGCAGGGCATGGGAATGGCCAAGCGATAGGTGATGATCTTCGGCTCTTCGGCTCTTCCTTGGCCTCCGCGTCCCAATCACCTTCAGCCCCTTCTACCGTGTCTTCCTCTCGATCATCCTCTTCATCGATTTCATCCCCTCCTTCTTCGTGAGCTACTTCTATCTCATCGCCATCATCTCGTTCTTGATCTTGATCTACCACTTCGGAGTTTTCAGCCTCCTCTTCATCGAAGTTCACCTGTCCTTCCCCTTCTTCATCTTCGTCCAGTTCAGGTACGTTGGGCTCATAACCTGTTGGTCAGGCATGGTCCTGTGCCTATAGGGTCTTCCAAACACCTAGTTCCAAACCCTTCGAAACATCTTCTCTGAGCTCGTCCACTCCATGTGAAAAAGGGCTGCGAAAAAGACCTTCGCGTAAAAAGGCTTGACGTGCCAGGGGGGGCCATGCGCATATCAGCAAATATAGATACCCACGGCCGGAGACTAGCGCAACAGCTTGCGCCCCAAGCCCGGTGAACCCGGAAATACTTTTTGTGTCACATGGCTGGGAGCGGGAAATGGAGTTTCAGCTGGAGCGCAAACTTGAGCTTGGTTGCGTGGGTAAGTCTTCAGAAGGCTTTTCACCTGAGGACCCGATGGCTGCTATTTCACTCTGCCGTGGAGATCAGCCTTCAGCACAATGCCTGCTTGAAGGTCCGTGTGGTGTGGATTCCAGAATCGGACGCTTTGAGAAACTCAACTTTCCACTACTGTTTGATCATATAAGAAAATTGAGTAATCGTTGCGTACATATATTTACAGTGTCTTGGACACCCCGACTCTGAAAATTATGTAAGATACAAAATGAGCACAGGACTGTTTGAATGAAGCTGGTTGAAGTCCTTTGATGTGTCCTACTTGTTCGCGATTGTGGAAGGTGTACCCATTTCAGATCAACGTGTGATTCCTTGCATCACTGGACCAGACAGCTGTACGGAGTGGTCCTTGGATGTCACGGATGCAGGTGCGATGGGCATCAAAACGGACCAAGAAATGACAGTTGGCTGATTTGGTTTTTCGGCCTTCATCATGTTCTATCTACTGCCGTGAAAGTTTGGATTAAAGAATCTTAATATACACAGTTCCAACTTTGAGTTTGGTGTCAAAAGTTGCGCGAGGCAAAGACGCCTGCGGTCAGCTCAGCCTACGGGTGGAGGAAGGAGCTGTTCGTGCAGCGTCTTGGTTGAACAAGATGCTGTGCAACAGACACTGCCCCGCAGAAACGATTCTCATAGGTCTTAGTATCCAAGCGAATGATAACTTGCTCTTTCATCAGTTCATGCGTGCGTATTAACTAGGGATATCCCCCCTGCTTTGCAGTATATATATATATATGGAAATATACACGTAGCCGCAGGGCTCGATCAGCCCGTACGCTTGGGTTTTCGGGCGCCCAGGGCCGACTGGACACGCGGGTGCCGATCGGTGTCGATAAGGGACCATTGTCTCTTCAACATCCGGGCCCGTGTGCACGTGGATGGACCCGTGCCGGAACTTCCAAAGGACGATGATAGCGTAGCTGTGACGGTGATGGTGGTGGCGAAACAGTACGTGTTTTGCAGGATGACACTGCAGATGATGGCCATGAAAGGGGGCTTGAGGACGGGGCTTTTGATGAGGATTAGGATGAGGATGAGGATCCTCATAATAATGTGATCCTCTCACACATGTATGACCATCATACTTTGTAACCCCGAACCAGGATGTTCATCGCTACTCTTTCTCGATCATGAATAGAACAACACATGAACCAACTTTTAATCTGTGAATATTTCTGGTAAGATTTTCGGTTTGTATTTCGTGAAAGGTAACCTATCCTTGTATACATACATCTGATTTAATCTATGTATTTCTTTCTTCTCTTCTCTGATCCTAATTGATCTAATCTTATCTGTCTATCTCCTGTCATGTTCCTGGTTGAAGTTTTTTTGAAGATGTTTCTTGCGCGGAAGCTTGGTACCTGGTCGTGGGAATGTGCGTCCGGTGAGCTGAGCTCGTGTGTCCTATCTATCCTGTTTGTCCTAGCTGTCCTGTTTGCCCAATCTATCTGATCTTTGCAATTGATCCAGTCTATCGCCTCTACCTGATCTATCTTTCCTCGTCTACTCGATCGAATCCATCTATATATCCGATCGAGCTACTCGATCGAGTCCATCTATAAATCTGTTCCTATCTACCGTCCACGTATCTTGCCCTTCCCTATCTCATCTGACCTGTTCTAGTTTGTTCTCGTCTGATCTCTTCATCATGTGTCCAATAACTCTCCTATCCAGGTAGCGTAGTTGTTCTTACCTTATCTTATCGTATCTCACCTTTTAGGTTTTCTTGTCGTTTCCTAGCTCACCTCATCTTATCTCACGCTTTCTTCTCTTCTCTCATCCTTTTTGATCTAACTAATCTTATCTGTCTATCTCCTTTCATGTTCCTGGCTGAAGTGTTTTAGAAGATGTTTCTTGCGCGCAAGCTTGGTATCCAAAATGTCGTGGGAATGTGCGTTCGGTGAGCTGAGCTCGTGTGTCCTATCTATCCTGTTTGTCCTAGCTGTCCTGTTAACCGAATCTATCTTATCTTTGCAATCGATCCAGTCTATCGCCTCTACCTGATCTTTCTTTTCTCATCTACTCGATCGAATCCATCTATTTATCCGATCGAGCTGCTCGATCGAGTCCATCTATAAATCTGTTCCTATCTACCGATCCACGTATCTTGTCCGTCCTTCCTATCTCATCTGACCTGTTCTAGTCTGTTCTCATCTGATCTCTTTATGTGTCCAATTTTTCTCGTCTTTCCAATGTACCTAGTCTATCTTCTCGATGTAATCTGTCTATACCCGTGTGAAATTTTTCGTACCTATTTACCTTTCCAGGTAGCATAGTTGTTCTTACCTGATCTTATCCCACCTTACCTTTTCTAGTTTTTCTTATCATTTCCTAGCTTACCTCATCCTATCTCATGCTTTCTTCTCTTCTCTGATCCTTTTTGCTCTAATTAATCTTATCTGTCTATCTCCTTTCATGTTCCTGGTTGAAGTTTTTTAGAAGCTGTTTCTTGCGCGGAAGCTTGGTATCCAAAATGTCGTCAGGATGCGCGTTCGGTGAGCTGAGCTCGTGTGTCCCATCTAGCCTGTTTGTCCTAGCTGTCCTGTTTACCCTATCTATCTAATTTTTGCAATCGATCCAGTCTATCGCCTCTACCTGATCTATTTTTTCCTCATCCAGTCGATCGAATCCATCTATATATCCGATCGAGCTACTTGATCGAACCCATCTAAAAATCTGTTCCTATCTACCGACCCACGTATCTTGTCCTTCTGTGTGTGGGCGTGGGCCCGTGAGCAAGCCCGTGGCCGTGGGCTCGTGGGCCCGTGCGCCCGTGGATGTTGAGCGGACGCTTCTCCGATAAGGGAGCGCCCGCGTGCTCTTCCCGGTTCTTGTGTTGGGGCGCTCTCTGGACCCGATCGCGCTTGTCGAGCCATGTCTGTGGCAGCTGTGGTGGACCTTGCTGACCATGTTCTGCAAGGCTTAACAAGGCAGAAGTTTTGATCATTGCTTGCTGACTGGGAGCAGCCTACATTGTTGGAAGCCTTGCAATGTGTTGGTGATGGGATTGAGGTGAAGCCCTTTGCCTTCCGCCCTGGATCTGGGTTCAGCTTTGACGGACCTTCCTGTCTCTGCGTGGGTCACGATGCCACACCTCGCACCTCGCTCCATTTCGATCGCCGCTGGAGTGCATGGTTCCCTTACTCGTGCCACCAAAAATGAGCGTCTACAATTTCAATTTCAGTATTGACTCCACTGTTCATTTTCGGCCAGAGCTGGATTGCAACTTTGGCTGGGGCTGTACTCATTTGTATTGTGGAGCCTTTGGGGGTTGGAACCAAGCTGTTGAGTGGATCCCTAACGCTGGAGTTGGTTTCTCCCCAGGCCGCCACATTTTTGTGGACAATTGTGAAGTGATTACGGATTTGTGCAGCGTCAAGCATGACGTGCAGGTGTTGAAACGCCGGCTCAAACAACACGAGGGCCCTGGAACCCTGCTGCAAAACTGGGAGTGCTCGGGGATGTCGCTGATCGTACATTGCCATTCGCGCGCCGCAGTCAATTGAATCTCCTATGTTCACTCTCCTCGCCATGCCAATCGTGGTCAAGGGAGGAAAGAAAGGCAGGAGGACTTTTGGACCTCAATGGATGGAGTTCTATTGATGCCCTTTGCCAAGTTCTTGCGCGTGCACAGTGTGTTGATGCAATCAAAGCACGCCCGCGCTACCCGCTTGTACAAAGCCTTGCTTGCGTGTTTGGGTATATGACCCTCTGGACACAGGTCGTCCCATGTCACGAGTTGTCGCACCACTATCGCTCTTGCTGGCTGTGTGTGTCTGTGTGTGGGTCCGAGCTGACATTCCTGCAGAGTGCTCGATCGCGCCACGTGTGCCTTGGTCTGATGCTAGGTGCCATTTCCACCTTCCCACGGTGTGGACTGACCAAGTTGGGTTGAGCGCCTCAGAAGCTGCAGTATATAACGACCCACAATTCCTGCCAACAGCGAAACGAGCCAAAGTCGGTGTGAACTCTCGTGCCAATGCAGGTCTTGCAAGCCGTGTTAATAGCCATTATGCGAAATGCGTGGGAGCATCTGTTCGAACAAGGACCCTTTGTCCGTCTTTGTCCCATCAGCTGTGCGCACAAATGGCTTTCGACTAATCTCCGATTCTCCCCTCCTCACCATGCTGGAGTTGATCTTCGCGCCAAATCCGAGTGTGTCATCGACGTGGTCCTGCTCAATGCGTTCCGACTTATGCATTCGTGGACTTTCCATTATACAGTACGTGAGCTCGCAGCCATTGCTAAAGAGTCGAATCTTTGTGTGCGGGATTGTCAGCTTGGCGCCGGCGCAGTTCACTGTCAACTATGATGGAACTTCGCCTACCATCGCCATGCCTGGCCCAGTGCAACAGCCAATCTTCTTGCAAGCGCCTGGATGCCTTGAGAACTTTGGAGCATTGCCGCGTTTGGGAGTCTCCAAGCGATTGAGTTTGAGCGGTCAAATGCAGGGCACATTGTTCACATCTTGCGCTACGCAAGCTACCAGGGTCTGTCTCTGTGCTTTGCAGTCCTTCGAACTACGAGGTTTTGCTTTCTAGCATTCGTGGTCTCGCTCCCAGTGGGAGAGTTGCAACTTCCACTGCCTTTGACGATCAGTGGCCAAGCCAACTACACAGCAAGGATCATTCATGTCTTTCGACTGCCAGAAAATGACCAAGTCTGCGCTGTTGCTGGCACTGCGCCTCCCCACTATGACATCCTTCATGCTGTCGTCACAGCGCCATGGAGCTCTTTGCCGACCTTCGCCTTGACTGGAACCATCTTCGAGGTTCAGCAAATCACTGGCATCCCCGTGGCGCAGCGCGATGAAGCTCTCCACCGAGGCACTATCATCATCCACCTCCAACGTAGCTCTGACATTTGCGCAGGAGGACACCACCTTGCATCAGGTGCTACACCCGCTCAATGCTGGGGCGGACTTCCAGGCAAGGACCGAGTTTATGTGCGCCACTCACGGGTGGATTGCCGCAGACGAGGTTTGGAGCATCGCGTAGAATCTTATGTTCATCCAAGATCATGTCCGCTTCACTGCCCCTGTTTACTGGAACCAACTTGGAAGGGACGGGGAGCTTACCCTGTCTCCATTCGGAGAGATCATGCTCTTCAACAACACGACAAACGTCCTTTGTGTGCTCGTCGACGACCACTGGGCTGCCATAGAGATCTTCAGATCTGAGATGACAACGTGCGCCTTACGTTTGTGCAGATGCCACCTCACCTGCGTACACCAGCCACCTTCATCGTGCCCAGGCTTTTGGACATTGCGCCGCGTCGCCTCACCACGTCCAATGAGCGTGATACTCACTTGCCACACCTTTGCGGATGGAGGCTTGTCCAACGCTGGGTGCAGCGTTTCGACCTTAAAGACGAATTCCAGGTCGAGGCTTTCCACGGCGTAGCTGACCATTCCGTGACATCATCCATCTCACACTGGAATGCCCACTTGAAGGCTGGCAGACGTACAATGCACCACTTTCGCTTGTCCAGCTTGCTGCAAAGCTCCGCTCCAAGTTCTTGATCTACCTCGGCTTTCCCAGTGAGGTTGCCACCTTTATCCTCGGCTCTGCCGACTGATGAGATGGACTTCTACGCTGGAAGCAGCGCGTGTCATTCTGCCTGCAACACTCTTCTGCGGATTTGGAGTGTGGAATCTGACCACATGATCAACTCCCTCACGCCGGTTTATATGGATACACTCATTGTCATGTGATCTGGTTCATCCTCCACAACAATCATTGGCTCCATTTCGAGTGCTATTTGCGTGGCTGTGATTCGGCGTTCATTGCTTCTGTCCCAGTGCGCCAGCAAGGAAGTTATGGCCCTCTCATTCAAAATCCTGACGACTCAGATTAGCAATGACCACAATCGAATAGCGGTGGATTTTGTAGACCAAACGATGCCCCGAGAGTTATGTGGTTACCATTTGCTTGCCAACATCTTCTACCGCCTCGGTCTGAACGCGCCTCCACCACTCGACCTCTCCAACGGTCAACATGGTCCCCTCATCCAGCGGGTCCGCCAAGAGGCCAGGAGGGTTTGGGTGCGAGCGGAAGGCCAGACTTTGTCATTTGCCGCCAACATTCGCGATTAGTATCTCCTTCGAGTCAAGGGCAACAGATTTGCTGGCACGTACTGCGCTGCAGGAGCCATTGACAGCATGGATGTTGAGACTCAGCCTGGAATCAACCCATGCAGACCCACTGACGCCGCATCCGGCCGGTGCCGTTAGTGCGGCCCCAAGGACGTGACTCGTTGTCGCGCGACAATGACCCTTGGGCGCGGAAGGTGCCTCGACCAGCGCTTTTTGGGGTCTGACGGCAAGCCCACGATCCAGACGCGCCGCCTTCAGCTTGGGCCGCACCGAGGCGGCGTTGTCCTCCTGACCAAGTCCTTCATCTCAGAAGTGTCCAAGCATGCTGGGGCTCCCAGGACCTTGCGATCCTCCTCTGAGTTACTGACCAGATGCATCTACCACATCTTGCAGCCAAGCTTGAAGACCTTACGAAGTCGCGACGCACGATGAGACCGCAAAGATCTCTTACAAGCGCCTCACTATAAGTTGCCTGAGCCCAAGTGCAAGATCACCACCCAAGCCATCTGTGAGCTTGTCCTCGAGGTTGACTCACGGCTGTGCGCCAAGAGTGACTATGAGAAGATCAAGGATTCCCCCATTGCCTCCTTCAGGCTTCAGGGACCTGCTTTCACAATTTGTCACTGTTCCGGACGCCTCCATCGTCCTCTGTGGCTATAGGGGTCACTCAGCGCCCAGGCGCACCCAAAGGCGATACCATGTTGCAATGAATCGTCAAGGCTCCGCAACCACTGCGCTCAACGCTGCTTGAAGCAAGTGGGCACTCCACCCTACTTGGCAGGGAGTTCCTTCAGCGTGGTCAATGTCACCATGTCCATTTGGTCCGCAAATGTTGGTTCCATGCGTACAAATTCTATTTGGAAATCATGGGGAGCTGATGTTTGTTGCCTTCAGGAGACCCGCGTTGGTAAGGCGAACCTTTCATCCAACACCCTTGCCATTAAAGCTCTTGGACAAAGACTCACAACTAGCGACCCGCAATGGCGCAACTCTGGTGCTATTACCCCCTGGGGCCTGGGGTGGTACTGCCATTTTTGCTAGTGAGCCCGTCATCCAACCATTCGACCCGACCATTGACCACACGGGTTGTTATGTTGGTTTGTACCGTACTCAGAGATTGAATGCTGCATGGGTTCAAGTCACACCCAAATGTCGTGCCTTGATTGTTTGTGTTTACGCCACCACTGGCGCTTCGCAAGACCCGGCTGTCCATGCAAAGAATGATGGTTTATTATTCGCAGATCTTTTTGATTTCATCGCACAGTTCGGCCAAAGTCCAATACTTGCGGGCGATTTTCAGGCTGACCCTGCAAGTTACCCGTCAATCGCCAGCCGCCTTGCTTTCCAGAACTGGCGCGACCCTGTCGCCACTGTTGATGAGAACGGGTTCTCTACTAGACCAATCACATTTTCCCGTGATGGGTTTTTTTCGGGTGCTGATGATGCTTCCTCTTCAATTGACGCTGTTCTTTTGTTGAAACCGCTGAGTAGATCGCCAGCATAGGCCCCTCAAACTTACCTTTCGTTGGGCTACAATCGAACAGTTCGGTTTTGTGCGCCTCAAGAGTGCCCCCTTTGATCCAGCCTCGCTTGACAAAGCTCAGTGGGACCCGATTCAATTTCCGGCTGGCGTGAGTTCCAGGATAGTTAGTTTTCCGCTTCCGACGGTGAAACCAAGTGGTCCATTGTTAATGATTTTCTCTTTCACTCTCTTGGTCCAGACCGGAGCTCGTTGGAAAGACGGGCCTAAAACCAGAGGTAAGGAACCCACCTTCGTTCCCAAGAGGGTTGCCCCGAAGCAGCGCCAAAACTTTTGCGCTGCCACGAAGAAGTCAACCTCGCTGCGCAAGCTGCTTGGCCGGTTGAATGAACTATTCTGTCGACTCACAAGGGAGCCCACAGGATTTTTTCATTACCAAACACACGGCCTACCATGCGTTTAAGGGACTCCTTCTACACAAGGCACCATTCGTTTGGCACTGCCCTAACCAAGCTACCTTGGCTGAAGTTTTTCTTGCGAGACGTTGGGCTGAATCTACTGCAGCCCTTCCACGCTGACACAAACTTTCCAGAAACCTGAGTCAGGCGTGTGGCTAACATAGACCACTTCCAGGTTTGTGGAAAGTTTGTGTCAGTGTGAGAGTGGAAGTGGTCTATGTTAGCCACACGCTTGACTCAGGTTTGTGGAAAGTTTGTGTCAGTGTGTGGACCAGGGACTGAGAGTGGAAGTGGTCTATGTTAGCCACACGCCTGACTCAGGTTTGTGGAAAGTTTGTGTCAGTGTGGACCAGGGACTAAAATTGGAAGTGGTCTATGTTAGCCACATGCCTCACTCAATATCTGGAAAACTTAGTGTCAGGTTGGACCGTGGACTGAGAGTAGATCTTATATGTCCCAGGAATGCGCCGTTTCCAGTGTGCCATGTTGGCCCCCACCGTGCTAAAATAGTTTTGCACCTGCAGTACTTCGGTTGAGACTAACGTAGACCATGTTCAGGAGGCCCCTACAGGTATGTGACATGGTCCATGTTAGCCGCCGCCGGGCCATGTTGATCTCTACCGGCGCGGTCTATGTTAGCTTGCGTTCAGTTTATAGTCAGAGTGCAGTTGGTCCATCTTAGTGTCAAAATCGATCATAGACTGAGAGCGGGAACGGTCCATGTTAGTGAGGGTCCAGAAATTACCCAAAAAGGCGCTAATACCGTTTCCCCAGGAAGTCACCGTTTCCAGTGGTCCATGTTAAAGCGCACTTGAAATTGAGTTACGGTCTATGTTGTTTTTCCCCGGAGTACCACCACTTGAAGAACCGTGCCCAAGATGAGCCTCCAAATGTTGTGCTCGATGAACATAACAACATTATTTACCAACCAGAAAAGGCTCTTGATGCCCTCAATTCGGCTTGGGATGTCATTTTTGCTGCGAATGTATTGTGTGAACATCCGCTTCGGGTCTTAGAAACTGTGTGGCCTCAAATCCATGATAAAGCAGAGCCTTTTTATTGTAATTATGCATGTTTTTGATGAACAAAACCTTCAAAACTTTCTCAGGCAGTAAGTGTATTCAACAGGTGAATGGAAGGTTCGGAAAAGATTGAGAAGCGTTGTGAAAGTTCTCAGTTCTCAGTTTCTTGGGTCTACTGGTTAGAATGCATTTTGGTGACCGCTGCGCACGCTGTTCCTTGAAATCCTTTTCACCTCTTGTTTGGTTTTACTAGCCTCGTGGTTCAGCTGATCTCTTTCAGCATTCTCTTGGATTGTTGACAGCCTCAGGTCATGTTGCTTGCCTCATGCTCTTTACAGGGCGATTTGCATCATCCTTGTATGCATGCAGTTCATTCTGTTCATGGGGGCCTTGCGTTGTTTTTGTTTGCGTGCGCCAAGGCTTTCTCTCACTGCGTATATAGATATTCTTTGCCTGTTTCAACTGTTTCTGGTGGTTTTGGTGCCTTGTAGGCCGTTTGTCAGGGAGGCCCTGCGTTTGCAAATCAACGCCTTGAACTATGTGGTTAGAAACAGAACAGTAAACAGATCAAAAAACTGCGCAGTTTCTAGAATTTCCAAATTGTTTTAGATCCTTCCCCAATTCCTACATTCCTTATATCCTTCTCCAAGTCCTACAGACACCACATTTCCAATTGTCTTTTTTTGCTTTGGGGGTTATCACATTTTGTTATGCGGATTGGGCGTGAGTCTGGGAATAGTGAGTCGTCTTGAATGGAAGGTCAGAAACGAGCACATCACGTCCCATGAAAGCCTTGCATCAGTATCGCATCCCATTCCGTGCGGAAGTTTCGATGAACCTTCCAGGCCGCTCAAAAGATGTCAATGTCATTTGTTGTGTTTTCTTGCAAACGAAGATGTGACATGACATGGTGCGACTTTGTCCTTGGCGTCCACGGATGCTAAAGTCGTGATGGCTGCTTCTGCTAGCATGACACGGAGAACAGATACAAACAGAACGGCCAGAACTGCCTTTGGCTGAGTCTAGCCTGCCAAAATGCTGCAGGCCAAAATGCCTGGAACTGAACGACCCTGTTGTCCTTGAGCCAGGCGTGGGAAAAGTTGTGAGACTTGTGAGAGTTCATGACAGTCCATCAGAGCGGGCGAGAACTTGTTTCGCTTCGGTCGCCACAGCCAGTTTTGCAGGCCAGTCCAACTTGAACTTTCAAGTCGACCTACGTGGAGGACACATTGACGTGGTCACAGCAGACTCCAGAAGCAGCTTTTTGGGTGGATTGCGAAAAGGGGCAAAGGATACACCTTGCGTGCCCTGGCTGATCAAACAGTGTTTACAGTAATTTTGGGGACATCTACGGTCAATTTGCTTGTCTCCCGGACATGGTCACAGCATCACCATTTAATGCCCGCCAAGGCAATCATTCCAAAGGTTGCAATGAAGTTTTGGAATGGCGCGGAGCGGGTCCTTTACGAATACGTTCGTCAAGGAGGTCAGCTCTATGTCACCGGTGGCCTGGGTCCTCAGCAATGGCGGTGCAGAAGCAAACGAAGAATCTGAAACATATCTTTGGAGAGCAACACCAGTTCTAAGGTTCCAAGACTAATATGCAATGACTAGGGTAGCTAGACTACGTAGATTGCGTCGGATGAGGCCACCACAATCGAGAGATCCTCAGAGATGTTTTTGGCTTGGATGTGCAACATGGCCATTCGGGCAACGTGCGCTTGGGTGGCACGATTGTGAACGTATGTCTTTCAAGACAAAGTCTACCCACTTCTATGCTAGCCATTTTATATTGCCCTCTAGCACAAGTGGTGGGGAAGGGGCCGCGTACTAGATGGCGAAACAACGCACTAATTCAATCGATGTGCACGCGTGCGAGTTGACAGCAGGCGGTCCGCAGGTCCTGAGGCAGCCAAGCGTGTGAAGATGGATTGACATGCGTTTGGTCCTTGCGAGCCGATGGTGCAACCTTTGCTGTCCACAAAACTCAGGTTGACATGACATGACCAAAGATGCAAGTGCTGCTTATGCAAAACACTGATGCGGGAGGAATGCGATGAATGGCGCACAATACACAACAAACGGCTTGATTCTTTTGAGCCGCATTCATTCAAATTGTAGTCATGGCCATGTGCGTGAATGGCTGCATGGATGAGGGCAAGCTCATCCTTTCCTACAACAGAGGGGAAGGAAGCCCTGAGGAAGCAGAAACTGAGAATCAACTCCATGCACAAAGCCACCCCAGCACTCTGCAAGAGGCTTTGACCCCGAGTGGAAAAATTGAAAAGGAGGAGCATGCTTGGGCACGTTCGAAACCAAATTATGGGATCATTGCTTTCCATGCAAGGGCAGACATCTTGGGCATTTCTTAAAGGATCGGGTTCTTCAAGGTCCTGAAGCTGCCTATGAGCAGCTAGATTACCCAGGCTGCGATCCCATTAGGCAAGTGTCCAGTGCAATACTGTTCATCGCAAAGCTAAGAGAAGGGATCGTGGGATGTTGACAACTTCAATGGTCATTCTTCAATCCTTGAGTGCAAGACTTTTAACAGGAGAAGATCAACTCGTGTCACTCGGTGATAGTCTTTTACTGAGTCGAACTTAGTGGGAAGCTTGGCAAACCTGCTGTCTGAGTCTAGTGCGCAGCATGAATCCAAAAGCGAAGGAGGCGAAGCAGTGATCCTTGGCACCTTCTGATTCTAACCCACACCAGGGACAGGACGAACTGACCCGCGCCCAAGCAGCACGAAGACACATACGGCACTCATAAGTTAGAATTTTGCCACAACCCTCGTGAGGGAGAGGCTGATCTTTCTTAGGATTTTGGCAAATGCATCTTCTGTGAGCATCGGCTAACAGTCAATCTTCCGCAAAAAGACACGAGCTTTCCGAGGGTAAATGAAACACGGACACTTGGTGAAGGCTGAGACAAACTGAAGCCGTGGGCCGTGGGCACAGTAAGCCACGTCCTGCTGAAGTATGAAAGTGTGCGCCCAAATTCGATAACTCAACAAGAATTGTGATCATCCGGATACAGCTTGGGTGTTCGGGGCAGCTCTATGTAAAGTTTGGCCCGCATATGTTCCAATCCGGACATCCATCGTCAAATGAACGACGCGTACAAAAGATTGCAGAAGGCTATCCTGCGAATGACAGACTTACGGAGCGAAGGTCTTTAGCTTCTACTTTCGTCACACTGTGGCTAGCAGTAATTGAATGCAAGTACAGAGAATTACTCATCAACAACATCTGATTGATCGAAGGAGAGGCAAGTCACCCCCGCGGCCAGATCAGAATTGTGAAAGAGCATGGATGGCCCTCGGACATGTGTCACTGTTGTCGCCGCAGGCGCCTTGAGCATCTGGCTTCGAGCCAAACAGTGTGCGAGTGTTCTTGGCCCCTTAGATTAGGTGTGTTTGAACCTCCGCTGTTTAACAGTGGCAGCGGAGCTGTCGACCCTCGTGCCATAGCGCTGCCCTGCGTTTGGACTTCGCTAGTGCTACTTCGTCTTCTACGTGCTGACGGTCTTTGCTTTGGCCTGCTGGCCTCGACTTCTTGCGTGTTGGGCTGCTTCGCCCAACTTGGCCGTGCTGGCCTGGCTTTGGACAACTTCGACTTCGTGGTCTGGACTACGTCTGAACTACAACGTGGACGACCTGGACACGGACTTCCCTGGTGGCGTAAAGCCTCTCCCTTTTGAGGGGTAGAAGGTTGCCTGGTGGCGAGCCACTTCAACGTGGACTTGGAGACGGAGAAGATGAGTAGGATGACCGAGGCTTTGACAGCTACATACCGGTCTGGGATGGACGGAGCGAGGCGCTTCGAGAGTTCAAGAAGTCCGTCCAATGGTGGTTGCACTCAATCGACCTAGAGAAGACCACTTCCTACAACCTGGCTGCCCGCTTCGCAATGAGGCAGAAAGGAAGTGCCAACTACGTGCGCTGGAGTTCGACCCAAAGGAACTTGAATACACTCCAGCTGAGAAGGTGAAGGATGATGAGACCGATGAGATGATCGAGATTTCACCCGCGGTCTACGACGCCGGAATCCAGAAGATCCTGGCCTCCTGGGATGACATGGTTGGGAGGTCACAGACAGACCGCAAGGGTGAGCTTCGGGAGAAGTACTACCTGCAGCTTCGTCGTGGTGGCAGTGAAAGTGTGCCGAACTTCGCTCTTCGGTACAGGACCCTGATCGGCGAGATGAAGGCCGAAGGAATCACTGTGGACCCCAGCGAGCAGGCATGGTTCTTCAAGCAAAAGCTTGCCCTCACCGAGCTTCAACGACAGATGTTGGAGACCACCCTGGGCGTCGAGACCGAGGACTATGGAGCCTGGGAACGAGAGGCAGTTCGCCTCTTCAAGAGAGTCCATTTTGGACCTGGCCATGGACATGGAAGCCAACACCGCGAAGGCGGACATGGGAGCTTTAAACGACCTCCTTCTTTGACGGCTTCTACTTTGTCCAGGTTTCGCAGGAGTTTCCCTTCGACTACATCGTCTTCTACCCCCTCCTGGAGGCGTGGCGGAAAAGGCTTTGGTGGTTCGGTCAACGTCACTGAGTATGACGACGAGGTGACGGCTGAGAACGAGGCCTTTGAAGCTGAAGGAGAACCCCCAGCTGAAGAGGATGACGGTGGTGCAGCAGATGCAGAAAGCCTAGCTGGCTTTGAAGGACTTCAACAGACCATTGAGGCCCTTGCGACAGAGATTGATGAGTTGGCTGATGGGTCACAAGGCGATGCGGCGATGATGACCTTGCAGCCATTGAGGAGCAAGTGGAAGGTGCAGTTGAGGCATTGGTGACCCTTCGTGAAGCGAGGTCGCAAATCAATGCCCTCAAGCGAGATCGTGGTTTTCGTGGACCTGGTTCGACTGGCTTCAAAGGAGGCAAAGGTCGTGGCAAGAAAGGTTCAGGCTCAAGCCAAAAGGATGGCAAGTGCTTTGCTTGTGGTCAAACTGGTCACTGGCAAGGTGATGCTGAATGCCCTGCAGCAGGCAAGAGCATTGGCAAAGGAACGACGCCAAAGTTCCCAAGACCAATGCAGAAGCCTGCAACTTCATCGTCGACTACCTCACCAAAGTCTTCGAACTACAGGAGTGAAGCGCTCATGGCTGAGGTGAATGTGGTTGACCTGTTGGCAGGAGCTCAAAATGTTTCCTTTGACTTGGAGCCCACCATCCACGAGATCAATGTGGTTTCTTCCTTGTCTGAGGCTCTTTCGACAAGCACAGCCAGTGCAGTGGGCCTTGACCCAGACAAGCTCTTCGTGGCGGCTTTGGACTCCGCATGCAATCGGAGTTGCGCCGGAGCTGAGTGGTTGGCTCACATGAAGGATGCCTTGGAGAAAGCCCCTGAACCCATCAGGAGCTTGGTTGATGAGAAGCCTTGCCGAGACTACTTCAGGTTTGGCAATGGGGGTGTCTTAGAAAGCCTAAGAAGGCAGAGGATTCCTGTCCTGGTGCGAAACCAAGTGGTCCTCCTCTGGTTCGCGGAGATCCCATGTGCTTCATTGGGGTGCTTGCTTGGGAAGGACTTCTTAGAGAGCTTAGGGGCGACTTTGGATTTTCCCTCCAAGAAGGTGCAACTGAGGTATGTCAGTGATGGTTGGATTCCCCTGAGCAAGATGAGGGCTGGACACTTTTCCATGAACCTTCTCCCCAAGCCCCTCTCGTCGTGGCCGACGCTCGCTTCGCAGTCTTGGCATGTCGTAGGAGTTGGAGGTTGTTGCGAGGTTCAATGTGAAGGTCGAGTGTCATGGAAAGCTCGCAATCGTCTTGTCGACCGTTCGAGTGATGCTGATGGTGACTTGAACACGGTTGCGCACTACATCCCGGAGTTCTTCAGCTCAAGCAAGGCCTGGATGCCTGGGGAAGATGCTGCCCAGCCCGTTCGACGTCCTCACCCCGGTGGTGTCGCGATGGCAGCGCTTCCTACTTCGACTTCAGGCGAGGAGAACATGGCATTGGAAGGGCGTGATGCTTTGGCTGGTTCAGCGACCTTTCCTTCGCTACATGCCGGCGCCCTTGCCAGTGGTGACGACTTCGGAGGAGTGGAAAGCTCAGCTGAAGGACATGGTGAAACGGCATGCGTGGCCGAAGCGCTGGCAACCGAAGGCGATGGAGTACATGTCCCTCGTCCACCTCAACGAGGCCAAGGTTCTTCGGCAGAGGATGGGACTGGAGGAAGCCTTCATGGAAGACGAGGCGGTGATGTTCGGAATCAAGGCTCTGAAGAAGCCGGACAGAGCTCGCCAGCAAGCCGCGCTAGTTCAGGCAACTCACCAAGCCATCGCAGAGCTGGATGGCCGGAAAGAAGATCTCGCCCGGGAGCTTCTCGGACCCCGAGGAGGAATGCCCCGGACGAAGGCGGACCTGGTGAAGTTGGCGGTGCTGTTGAACGTGGTCGTGGATCCCAAGGACACCATCGAGCAGCTGAAGGTGAAGATCAAGCCGCTAGTGGACGCAGTGATGGGGGAAGCCCATGGCTCCTGCCCACAGGCGAGCCAGAAGCAAGACGGCGTTGACGACCCCGGACGCCACAGTCAGCCTGGGACCACAACAGCAGCATCAGCACCAACAGGACCAACTCCACCAGTCCCGACTGCGGTTCATCCTCACCCAGTGCCGTGGGGACTCCAGATGAGCCCGGACGGGCAGGGCCACTTTGCCCACTTCAACCCCCACACCCGTTCAGCTCAGGACGGTTGGGTACTC